AGTCTTGTGGTGTGTGAGAACTAAGTACTCAGGTTCAAAACACAAAAGAAGATGGGTCATTTTCTATTTGTCTTTAGCTGCCAATTAGAAGTGTCATTAATCCACTGCCCGGGAGAAGTTAGTGATTAAAACAGACGGTGTCACTGACCGTTGACGAGATGCTACGCAGAAGGTTGTGCTGTAGCTGCCTGTCACTGTGCTCATGGCAGTTGGAGCTCAGTCTCATTTTCCAGAGGGTGTCTTGATTTCTTGGCATTCTGAGGTAAAGAGACACATTATCCAGGATTTGAACATTACATTGTATTGTGTTCTGGATGGAGAATCTGCAGCAGACCCTGGGAGAGCTAACACGCTACCTGGCCCCCTCTGTCAGATGGGTTTGGTTAGAGAACACGTTGTGTTCGCCTTAGCTGCAGAGTCCTTCACTGTGTTCGCCCACGGAGCCACCCCAAGGCTCTTCGGGGCTGGCAGATTTGAATTTTGTCTCTGCAAGGATGAGTGTCTGAAGCTGGGCCAAAGCTTCACTTCCTTCTGGCAAGAGGAGTGGGATGGGGGAAGAGGCACGGGAGGGCTGAGGGGTCAGGCTTGCTTTTTCTGCTGCTCCGGGGGCAGCAGGAAGAGGCTGGCGGTGGAAGGCTGCTGCCAGGAAAGGCTAACCTCTAGCTGGAGACCACAAACCCTTGGTGACAGTGGCCAGCCTGGTTTTCCAAGGCCACAGATAAAATAAGCAATGACCTAGGACAGCAGACAGTGGAGGAGACAGTGGGGCACGGTCCTGCTGCTGGCTCCCTGTTGTGTCGGATGGAAGGATTTTTGTTCTGTAGTGGGAATTGTGCTCTAGCTTGCTTAAAAACAAGATGACCAGTGCTTTACTCCACATCCCACCTGGGGATCAAATCTTTCAGCAAGACAGGAGTTTTTCTTTTTTCCTCCCCGATATCACTTTTGAGGGAAATAAATTTCCATGACAGAGGATGGAATACTAGGAATGTTTTTCTTAGGTGTATCTTCCAAATTCTGGTTTGTAGCCACACTAATTTGTGGGTGAAGGAAATATTTTGGTAGTGAAAACTTGCCAAAATGCTGTTTAACAAGGAACTGCAGTTTAATTAGCACTTATGAGACATTAACAATAATTGTATTCAATTTGGCCACTCGGGATAAAGTATGATTCAGGATCAGCTGGTTGATGGGGAAAAAAAAGAGAAGTAACATTGCTGTGTGGTCTGGTGAACATGTGCCATTAGCTACGTATTCGCAGGTAGAAGCTTTTGTGGCTGTTTCAATATTTTTTTTATTTTTTTTTTGGTTCCCATGGGGTGTTTTGCAGGACTAGAAAAAAGTCGAAGAAACTTGTCTTAACTGGAGGGAAATGGTTTGACTTCAAGTTCATGCTTTTGCAGTGAGCTGGATTACAGTTTATCCCTGCTATCTCTTTCGCTGTGATTTTTAGGAAAAGTGCCAAAAACTTTAAAAATCTTTTCCATTTACTTATTTATGCTTTGCTTTGCCAAGGAATGAGAAAGCCTGCCACTTTTAGCAAGCCTGTGAGCAAGAAAGGCAAGGGAACCCAGGGTGAAATTTGACGTGGAGATGCAGGATAGCCATAAACATCTCTTGAATATTTCTATTCTTCTTTGCAGCAGAGTTCATTAGCCTTCCGAGTTTGTGGCTGTAGGTGAAAACAGACAGTGCCACAAAACGACTGTAGTTTCAAAGGCGGGCTGAGAGCAGAGAAAACAAACTATATGCAATTTAAGTGCCTGTTAATATGCACGCTACCACACAAGCCTAATATATACACCAACACGATGTAAGGCAGTGGAGATGACCTGATTAGTAAAGCCCTCGCAACGCGCTGAGGAGATCCCTGCTGCACCAGTGCTCCCCTCCTTGGAGACCTGCGACTGGTCCCAGCTGAAGGAAACCTTCCCGCAGCAACGAGAGCTGGCAGAGGGTTTCTGCAAAGGCGAGAAGAGTAAACAGCCTGCACGACTCCGCAGGATAGCTGGGATACTGGGAAAGGTGCAACATGAATTCCTTGGGCTTTGTGAGCTACGCTTGCAGGAGTGGTGGAGCGCTGTGTGTTTGGGGCGGTTGCATTTCGGCGAACGGCTCGCTCCGTGTTCTTGTGCTGTTTATCCTGTTGGATGAAAGCCATCATTCAGCAGAAAGAAACGGTAGGGCAAGTTAAAGTAAGTGATCTTCCAGTTTGTAAGCTCTTGCAGCCCTGTTTTCATGTGTTGAGCAAGCAGAGGTCCAGACACTTGAATGGTGCTTAGCACTTAGAGTGGTCAAGTGTTTGTTATTCCACGTCAGAGAAATAGAGACAAATTTATGTACGTAAGAAGGCAACTAAGAGACAAGGCTTATTCTCTCTCTTGTGAGTACATATAAATATGCACAACTGCTATGAGGTTTTTTTTGTTTATTTTGTGCATTACTGTGCATGGAGAGCATGTGAGCTTGTGGCAGAAACCCGGGGTTTTAGGTGAGGAGCGTAGGGCACTATTTCTGGCTCTTCTGTATCTACTTGTGTGGCCAAGTGTATTAAATCCTGCTCCTGAAGACAGCGAGCTGTTTATTCGAGCTTCGTTCTCTGACTTGCTGAATACCCCAGAAGGCTGGTATTATTAGGGAGAACTGTCATTCCTTAGCTCTGAAAGTGGGCTGTCCATAAATCACCAACGTGCTTTCCATGGGGAGGTGGGACTAGCCCGTGGAGCTGGCAGAGCTTCCACTCTTCCTCCCTTCTGCTCAGCCCCTCCACCCGAGGGTACATCCTCCTGGTCACGAGGCTGGCGATGGCTGTGCCACTCAGTGTACCCTGGGCTTGGCACAAGCTTCGGATGGCTTGCCGTTCCTTCTCTTGCTGCTGTGTCACGCATGCAAACAGCCTCCTGTTACCTGTTTCTGCTGTTCTTCCTCCCCTGGTTGAGGTGGAGGTGACCTCGCTGAAGCAGCTAGTGACAAAAACTTATCTTGTCCTTGGGGGGTGATTCCATAAAGTTTAGGGTCTCTCTTGCATGGCCAGGTTTGGGTGCAAGAACTTGCTTTCATCAGTGTGTTTCCCTGTGCGTGCTGTCGCTACTAGGGTTAGCACTGTGGGACTGTGCCGTTCCACCACGCTGGGTCTAGGTGGGGACAGCCAACCAGACCAGCACAGCCACATGCTGTCCCTGGGCACTGGCTGGGGCCAGGTCACAGTCAAGCTCTCAGTCTGTGCTGGGTTTTTGTGTGGTGTGGTTTTTTTTTTTAACAATAAATGCATCTCTGTGGCAACAGAAAATATTAATTCCCTTCTATAAATGAAGTATTAATATTTTGTTGTTACAATCTGTTTCGATGACGGTGCCTGTGCTGGCACTAGTTTGCTGTGATCTGATCCGGCTGTGTCCTTGCGCTGGATGGGCTTTGCTGTAAGAGTGCTTTCATTCCTTACCTCCCATTAGCGCCTTGATGAATAGTGGAAGATGCATTTCAACTATTTTATCATTAAAAAGCAACATCTTCCCGTTGTTTAGTCTCTGGTGCCTTTGTCCTGTTCATTATGCTTTGCCTAGGAGTCACAACAGCAATTTAGAGTTGAAACATCAACGTCAGTCTCTGAACCTTGCGTTTTCTTTAACGGTAAATTCTGGGGAAGGAGCAGAAAGGAGGATGAAGGAGGAAGTCTAAGTAGCAAGGTTTGTTTTCTGATGTTTCCAGGCTGGCTGTTTGAATCTGTGATGCCTCACGGCGATGGGATGTTATCTGCTCTTCTCTCTCTCGCTGGGTTCCCGGACAGGGTCCCCTTGGGCGGCTGCTCTGGACGATGCCTGGCTCTGTTCAGAGAGGTGGGCCAGGCTCAGGGCATGCGGCTGCACTCCGGCTCCGCTGCTGTTACTGGCACTTGTGCTAATGGCCTTAGTACAGAGGTCAAAGACTGCTTAGATATGAAGGCTGAATCACCTTCTTTTTAAACCCCTCAGCAGGATCAGGGCTTAGGGAAGCAGACACGTGGGCTTGCCTTCTGGCTGACGGTGTGGATGGAGAGTGTGACTCTGGGACAGGCCTTTCGGCAGTTTCCACCAACCACTGAGGCACTGAAACAGGGGTGTCTGGTGATGAAAACACCCCTCCATTGACACCCCAAAGTGAAAAAGCTCGTTTCATTCATTTTCTTTAAAGGTTTGCTGATCCCACAAGCTCTTGATAGCTAGGGGAGGTTTATTCTGTGATCTGAGGATCGCAGAAAGTAGTGGTGAGCCGGTCAGTCTAACCAGGTGGATATGAAAGATCTTCAGCTGAGCTTATTTCTCTTGCTTCAGACCGACGTGCTTTGGCAGCGTCACATTTACGTGAATCAGGAGATGGTAGCAAAAAAGCACTGGAGGCTCATACAGATTGGTCTCCCCCTGTGTCAGGAAACCTGCCCATGCAGGCAGGGTGATTTGGAGTTCACTGACAGAGCCCACAAGCTTTGCTTCACTAGGTCACTGCCTGTAAAGGGTACTTGTTTCTGTGAGCTGGGCTGGTGCAGTGTCCTGTCTTTGGAAAATCTGGGTCTTGGAGCACTAGGCAGGAGAGACCTGGAGTAAGCCACTCTGGCTCTGTCTTTTGCTCTGGTGACTTGGGCTTCTTGAAAGGAAGGGGGATGCCTGTGTTTCAAACTGAGAAGCAGGAGGTCAGTTCTTAAGCCTGCTGAGTCTGTGACTTTTGGTAGGTCTCTGGATCACAGCATGCCTTAGTTTCTAAGCTGTTTAGTAGGGATAGAAACTAGGAATTAAAAAAAAAAAGAAAAAAAAAAAAACACCACCCCAAAAACACCACAAATGAGGCCTTGAAGCAAGATGCAGTTGTAACTTATGGTGTCATCACCACCATCAGGATCTTATGTTGGTTTGAGCTTTGAGGCCGTGCTTTAATACTAATAATACTAGAAGTTTACCATGATAGTAGCTACTGGGAACTTTAGAAAATACACATTTTTAATTATTTTTTAATTTTTTTTATTTCAGCAAATTCAGTAAAGCTAGAAATGCAAAGTGATGAGGAATGTGACAGGAAGCCCCTGAGTCAGGAAGATGAGATCAGGGCTCATGATGAAGGAAGCAGCCTGGAAGATCCCCTTGCTGAGAGTAACGAGATGGTGGATAACAGAAAGATCCAGGAGCTATCAAGCGAGGGAGGAATCCGGCTTCCGAATGGTAAACTGAAATGTGACGTCTGTGGCATGGTTTGCATTGGGCCCAATGTGCTAATGGTACATAAAAGGAGCCACACTGGTAAGCAGCTGAAAAAAAACCTGATGACTGCCTGTGGCGTCTGATGTTTATGTTACCTGACAACTCTTCTCTCTTCCTTTTTCATTCACGGGGTAGCAGGAGGCTGGGGAGGGGAAAGATGGGCTTTGTTTTGCTTCTCTGCTTGTTCCCCAAATTCTAATGCTGTGTTTCTGGCAAGCATGATGCTTCCTTGACATTCATTTCCAGCCTTCGGTTCTTAAAAACAGCTCAAAAGTCTGGAGATCCCCTTTTTTTACTGTTCTTAACCAGGGGTGAGATGGTAAGAGTCATTCTCTGGCCTGGAGGGGTGTGTGTGTTCATGGGTGTGTGCGTGTGCAAGGCTTTTGAGTGTTTAAGATGAGTCTCGGATAGTCTTTCCTTGGAGGTGCTCACAGGTGGGCAACACCAGCAGCTTCCTGGGGATCTCACACCTCCTTAGCAAGTGAGTGGGCGTGATGCTGGTGGCTGGGCAAACCTGAGATGAGTGAATCCCAAAGGGAACACTCATTCCTAGTGATCCCATTGCTGGGGTGGGCTTGCTGTTCCTCACCTGACAACTCCACCAGAGAAACCTCACCCAAACTGCTTTCATGGACTTATACTTGGCTCCCCCTTGCCATGCAGATAGCATTTTTTGTGGCACCTCTCAATGCTTGCACTTTCCTATCATTTATTTCTATTACTATTAGTATTACTACTGTTCGGAGACCCAAACAGCTTGCTAGGCATATGGATTTGAGAATTCAAGTGGCAGCAATAAACCTTGGCTGTATACTAGATTGAGCAGGTCTTTAGGGCCTAAAAGATGGGACCTTGAGTTCCAAACAGGGAATTTCAGGGGAATTTTGGCTAATGGGTCAAACTGGGGTGCCCAAGAGGCTGGTATACACTCACCTCTGCTGCTCCTCAGGTGGGAGTGACAGTTACCTCTAGGAGGATAAAAGTACAGATGGTGCCAGAAGATGCTTTTTGGTCTTGCAGAGGTCTACCTGGCAGAGCCTTTGATGCAAAAAGCACTTAATCTTGTGCCGAACCTCTATGAGATTTAAGCACGTGTAAAGTCACCTGAAGTGCTACAATATATGCTTAACTTCAGATACACACTGAAATCTTATGCAGGTTAAGTACAGGTTTCTGTGTTGGAGCCTCAGTGGGTGTTTGTTCTTCATATTTTTTGGACAAAATGAGAGCTATTTTTTTTCGAATCGTTCTCTACTATTTCATGGAGTGAGAGATTCACACTGACTGTAAGATATCTGCTAAAATAAAAAAAGAGAAGTGGCGTTTTAAGGTAAAGTGAGGAAGACTTTGTGTAGTCCCTTTATAAAGCTGGTAGTTTGCAGTCAAGTAGTGTGCACTGGATGGGCAAGAAATCAATAGAATTTCTGTTCAGAGGAATAATAAATATATATTACATAGTTAATGCTTTGTATACAAGTTGTATTGATAATAACTTAACATAAATGTATAATGCAAAGCATGTCGTAACTGCTGTCTAAAATCACGACTGCATCATAAACGACGGGGGAAAAGCATTAGCTGGAGAACCGAAATCTTGATTAACGAT